TATTTTTTGTTAATTTTTGATTTCTCACACTAAACTAGAGGTATATTCTGCAAGTGTTTTGATGTGTTCAATGGAAGCGTGGAGAAGAAATTGTCAATAACACTTGAAAACATAATGCTCGTACGGACGGAGATCGATGCCCCATCGCCCTCCTGGTTGGCCATTTACAGTCCTTATTCTTACCGTATCAGGTAGCCGACCAATAAGAGTGCGCCGTTCTGCATCTGTTCCCGCCCATTCCTTCAACAATATCCAACATCTCGATAATGGGTGAACCTGTTTTGAAAAGGGAAGACCAGTACCATCAGCACATTACTTGTGAAACGATTGTGAACTGCATGTAGGGCGTACGGCGCTTCACTATCATTCTCGACCAGGGTGAAAATCGCTTGAGGAAACGGTAACGGCTCGTCGAGGAATTCTTTCACGCTCTCCCACGCGGATGCTCAATGGTCACCCTCGCCGCCGCGAGCCGTCTGTGCTCTCCGCGCATGCATTCACTTCTCGACTTCTATTTTTGTATTCCATAGGTGCTCGGGACTGCAGCCATAAGCAAATATCACAAGAACATAAACAAACGCAGCAGCAAGGGCATGGAGGCGTAAAGTATCCTGAGATTTTTTCACAATTCACTCGTTGTGACGCTCAAAATTTCTATCCCTGAGAGATAGTCGAATTTCTATTTCAGCACCTATAAAGGCAGTGCCCAAATTTAGACCCTTAGAAAGGACTTCCTAGTAAATTGAGGAATCAACGTCGTCAAGCCCAGAAGCGGCACTGTCGCGACAAGAAAGAGCGCGAGCAGGCAGCAGGCGCCCTGCTTGCAGCATACCCACTCTCTGTGCCTCCTCGTACTCCGTGTACTCTCGCCAAGTCTCTCTCGTCAATGTGCAGTTTCTGTCTTTCCTGCCACGGCCGACCACACAATAAAAGGAGTCCCTCATTTTCAGTGTAGCTTTATGATTTCTTATGGTTTCTCCCCAGTAATTACTCCCTTCACACATGTTTCCACAGCAAAATAACCATAGATTTCGATAACAAGCTATATTTTTTAAAATTCTTTACCCATAATTTCAGATCTTAACACCATATAAAGTTGCCGAGCAGATGTCAGACAGTAGGAGTAGGCGAAATACCGAAACATTTCCAGATTATGCGTGGCGAATTGCACTTTTACTTGCGACGCCGCGATGCGGCAAAATCTGGTCGTGCACGGCAACTTCGAGCGAAATCATTGTGCGTGAACGATTACTGCAGTGAGAATCAGCAGCTCGAAACGATAAAAGTGAGCACCTGTCGATTGCTCCTTTCGAGTCCACGGAGATCCTTCAGAACCCACGGATGACACGTTTTGTTTTAGGTGTCACCGGAAAAGGTGGTTTGGGATGCGACCAAGCCACTTGCTGAGGCGAATGCGTTGGATACCACCCAGCTGGTTGTTAGGGTAAGCTTTGAATGACAGAGAGATTGGAGCCTTACAGCGCTGGCTTCCACCTTGACAGGGGCCCGGAAGGGAGCGAAAAGAAGTTCCTGTCGAATGTTTTGCTTGCAGATCTCTCGCCGCGACATCAGAATGCGGCGCTACGTGGAGCTGGTGAAGAAGTGCTCGCCATTTCTACTAGTCTACTCCAAAGCCGATAACACCATCAACACCGAAGTAATTCGGAATCATGTAGAAGGGCACAAGGCGTAAGAGGCGAGAACTAGGTGAGTTAGTGTGTTGCGCGCGGATGGCTACTATTCAAGGCCAACTAACGCTAGAGAGATTCAGTCCTGTTCACCTGGATAGGACTAGCTGCAATACTCGTAGTTGCCTTTCTAGCCACTGCAAATCTTTGCTCGTTCGACTCCTGACCAGATCAGTGGTATGAGACGCGATTTTTGCTGAGCAGACCCCCAAAACCATGACCCGTAGCGTAAGAAACTTGGGTTACTGTCATTCAGCATAGCAGGTTCCTTCAGAGCTTTTGAAGGAACAATTTGTCAAATGAGCGTCCTGCGGCTTCAACAAACGACTTTCAAAGAACGAACTTGCGGCTAAACACGTTGATCCATGTTAGTTATGAGCGACAGTTTGGACCGGCTGGCGAAAAAATCAAACAGAGCTTCAAACAGGGACTCCCCCTCTGCCACTTAGCAATGAGAGAAGACGCGTGTTGGACGAGTTGTATGAACTTGCCCGCAGTAAATGCGCCCCAATTGCAATTGCTGGCAATAGCCAGCATTGCTGGCTACTTGCCAGTAATTGCAATTGGGGCGCAATAATGAAATCGTTTCATGTTTTGAAGGTAGAAGGTAGAAGGAAAAAATGTGGAAATCCAGCGTAGTCGGCATCACCGCATTGATTGCTTTAAAGGACCGAGTTCAAATACTCCCTGTGGTCCCAAAACGATCACGAATGCCTCCGCAGCCAATCACGGCTGGCAAGTGGGAGTGCCCGGAGAATTTCCGACCACACCCACTCTTTAAGGAGTTTAACGCCCTTTTTGCGGTAATTTCGCCACGTGAGTTTTCTTAAAAATCTACCGCGTCATATGATTTCTCCCAATAAAGGGTCCTGTGCATCCCTTTAGTGCCATCGTATTGAAAGCACAGACCTGCTGATGTTGCTTTAAATGTGATAGGATGCGTTGCGCATCCCTCATCCCACATCCCAAGAACCGGTTCCCGTTCGTATGCTATCCTTCATTCTCGATTCGAACTGCTCATCGGAAAAGTGAGCAGACGCAGTCTAGCGCATAAGCTATTATCAAATGAAGTGGTCATATTTATTCAAACAGGTTACTTCTCCTACAATGCAGTGGAGTCGACTTCTGAAGCAGCACATACAAGTACAGAACGATTTGTCAATGGCGTTAAGGCGATTGTTAGACACTCCAAGAGAAAGGGCCCAATGCCGAGGAGAAAGAAGGTAAGTCCCTATTGGACAGACAGGTCAATATTTGTGATTTCGTAAAGCTCAAGGAAATGTCTGACTTCTAGGTACGAGGGAGTCGTACTAAATCACCTGAAGACGACATATGGCATGGATTTGGTGACGATCCACCTACTGATGAAGAGAAGAAGGAGAAAAACGACGAAAAGTCAAATGACGTGCGCGTTGTTTCTGCTTGGAGCCGAAGGTAAAAAAGCGGTGAGTTTCACGGGGATCTGAAAAGTCTCATTGAAAGCTCTAGCCACCGGACAAAGGGCAATGCTTTTCCTATACTCCTCCTTCTTTTGGGGGCTGTACCAGTTGATTAGCACAACTGCTGATTATTTCACTTATTTATTTGATTATTTACGTAACCGTTAAGTTATAATTGACTTAAGTAGGGAAAAAATGTTCAACATCATATGTGTCTAGGTCCCAATTTAGGTCGCTGAACTGGTTCTAAGCTTAGAAAATGTGTTATGCATCAAAAGATTGACAAATTAGTCACATTTATTGTAAATAGTTCCAGATGTGTCAGAAACGTGGTCCTGTTGGTCGATCTGAAGCAGCTTGGATGGGGTCGATGGGTGATTGCTCCAGCGGAATTCGAAGCCGGATTCTGCTCTGGAATATGCCCAAATCCGCTTCCAAAGGTGAAAGATCAAATTCATAACAATTTAAGAATATCTTTGAAGTGGATTACTAGAATTTCCAATATTCAGTACGTTCCCACCGAACTTCACATTTAAAACCCACATTCTCTAACTCACACCCAAACATGGGATGAAGCTCAGGTGAACCCACTGTTGTACTGCACCAGCGGCTCGATCTTCCCCATTCATCAATTTTCTACGCGCCGTTTGC